GGGGGAGCCACCCAGCAGCCCTAGTCGCCCCGAGCGCGAGACCCCTGAGACGGCTGCTGATTGGCTGACGACGGCGCAGGGGGTGGGCGCGCGGGAGACAGGGCGGCTTCTCTTCTTTCCCCCTTCAACGATTCCACCCCCCTCCTCCCTCCGCCAGCGGCCGTTATTTCGCGCGCACGCGCACAGTACTGCTGTCGTTGCTGAGCGGGAGAATGGGGGAGCGCGCGTCGGGGGTACGGATGGGGCGGGGCTAATCCCTAAGCGCGCGCCCGCCTAACGGTTGTCGTTCTTGGGCTCTGGTTGCAGCTTTCTGTCTCCTTTCGGCCACCGTCCTTTCCCCTCCCCATTCCAGCGGTTTATTTACAATCCTGTGCTGGTTTATGGTTTCCCAAAGATGGCGCTTAAAGAAGTTTGCCGGCCAAACTCGTGGCCGACCCCAAAGGCGATTATAGCCCTGTCACCGCCCCCGTCGTCCCAAAAACCAGGCTGAGGCACCAGAGTAAAAACTGTATTTACACGATACACGATTATACAAGAATTAAAAAAAATAAACAGCAGTCAGGATGGACCACAGCCCTGGCCAGCGGCGAGACTCAGGATGTTCGCCTGCAACACAGGAGGGAAGAGGACAACAACGTTAGAGCTGGGTGCAGGGCACAGGCCAAGGAGAAGAGGGGCAGAGCCATGGCCCTACCTTCAAGAAGGAATCCACCTGTTTCGCAGTTATGCCCTCCACGTGTTCCAGGTCCTCCACCTGACAGGACAGCAGCGATGAAGGTGTATAGGGGTTTATGAATCTCCCCCCACCCCACAAGTGCCCTTCCCAAGTGTTACCTGGCTGAAGGAGCCGTGGAGCTCCCTCCAGCCCACGATCAGCTGGGCCTTCTTCGGGCCAATGCGCTGCAGGCTGCGCAGATCCCGAACTGAGCCTTCGTTCAGCAGATACAGTATTTTTTGGCGCCCATGGGCCAGTAGCTCCGGGCTGATCTGTAGCTCCCAGCAGTCCTCATCCTCCTCCTTAGGCTCTGAGGCATCCAGAGACCCTTGCTATGAAGCAAGGGGAAGTGAGTGCCAGAAGTGGCAGCGAAGTGCTTTGGACTCCTCTGAGCCTCGTACCAGGCCCCTGGTTCCAGCCTTTCTCTCCTGTGAAGTGTTTATCCAAAAATCCTTCCCTCTGGTCTAATTCTCATCATATGCAACTTGTGAGAGGTAATACTAGTACCTAATGATCATATGAGTACCTTTCTCATAGAGTTACTTTTAAGATTAAATGAGCTAATGAATATAAAGCACAAAATAAGCCATTAAATCAGAATCTGGTCCTTCATCTCTAAGAAGGAAATAAGCTCTTCTTCACTCCCTGGAAAACACATGGAAAAGAGCAATAAATGACACCCCATCTCATCTCAGCTTTTGGGTAGTTCTTCTAGTGGTGATTCATATTGAGCATGCACGCACACACGTGAGTTCTGTTTTTGTTTTGTTTTGAGTTGAAGTCTTGCTCTGTCACCCAGGCCTGAGTGCTCGACACGCTGGGCTCAGGCGATCCTTCCGCCTCAGCCTTCCAAGTAACTGGAACTACAGGCATGCGCCACCACACCTGGCTGATTTTTAAGAAATTTTTTGTAGAGATAAGGTCTCACCATGTTGCCCAGGCTGGTCTTGAACCCCTGAGCTCAGGTCATCCCCTCACCTCTGCCTCCCAAAGTGCTGGGATTACAGACATGAGCCACCACGTCCGGCCTTGTGTGTGTTTGAATCTTGAGCGCTAGGTCAGTTTTCCCTCTTACATCCGTAGAGGGCAGGAACCAAGTGGCACCTAGTAAGTAGCTACTAAGTGCAAGAGCCATCAGGAAGGAAGGAAAAGTAACAGGTGGTGGACACCCACTCTGCTAGGTACATCTACAACACTGCCTTTCACCCTAAATGCCCTGACAGGGTACCATCACCACATTCAGGGGTTAAGGAAGTTAAGACTTGCAAATAGTTGGTAAGTATCAGCCAGGTCTTTTAACTCCAAGGCCAGTGCTTCTCCCACTAGACCTCATTCCCATGACTTCTAGCTTCTAGGTATAGCCTAAACCTCAGGCTACTCTCACCTTTCTCTTCCGGCCTTTATTCTTCAGGATGTGGATCTCAGTATTTGGGGAAGCCACCTGCTCCTGAACTGAAAGTAGGATTGGAGTCAGAGAAGAGGCCACTTTTCATCCTCCCTGGTAGTCAGTCCCTTGGCTCTCCCATTTCGGATTTCCCAGCTCCTCTGCACCCCGAGTTAACCCTCTGTTGTTTCCACATGACCCTTCTTACACGTGTATTTGAAATTTATCCCAGTTAATCTTGTATTACAACCAATCTTCTACTTGTCTGTCTACCCAATGCTGCTTCAGATCTTCCTCATCCCTCCCTCAGACTAGCAAATGGTGGGAGAAAATGAGTGACATGAAGACAGCTGCTCCTAATACCTCCTCCCTTATGGGATCTGTTATCTGGGCCCCTCTGGCACCTGGAGCCAAACTTACTCAGTTGCAGGGGCATCACCACAGCCTTTTTCCGGGGCTTTGTGACTGTGACTGTGTGATGGGAAAGGGGTTGGGGCATTGTGAGAGAGTTCTCCTTTTCCTTTGAGTCTCCAGTCTTCTGGGCCAGCACCTTGGCCTCCAGTTCTTTTTGCTTCATCTTAAGCCTCTGTTGGAAAGGATGAGGGAGAGATGTGACCCAGACCCAACTCCAGGGTAGCTTGAAGGACAGTGGATTAGCAAAGTGAGTATGCAGGTCTGAGGCCCTAGAGAGCAGGGCGAGGACCAATGTGAGAAGCTACCAGGAGACAGATGGATCCAATATAATTTAGGATTGCCCAGAGGTAGAACAAGCCTCGTTGGAAGTATTAAAGAGAAAGGCTGTTCAAGCAGAATCCTTATTTTGAGCTGGGTTTAGGAAATGCAGTATCTAACATTTGTTCTTTTTATCTGGAACTTCTTCTCTTCACCTTCTCACATCTGATCTCAATTATTTTTCAAAGTTCAGCCACATCAAGGACACTCAAGCAGAAGCTGGAGAACATGTTGGGTGAAAACTGGACTCCAGTCCAGCCTGACTGTCCTTCCCATATGGAAGATCCAAGGATTGCTCAAGACCAAAAGGTCCCAACTCCCATCTCCCAACACTTACCTCAATCTCCAAGTCCTTCTCCTCTACTGTCTTTATTAGCACCAGACGTTCTCGCTTTGGAGTACTCAGCAGAGGAGCTCCCTGGCTCCCCTGGGAGGCCAGCAACCGGTCCAAACTCAAGAGGCGATCCAGCATGGCTGAGTCCATGCCGCTTAGCTTCTGTAGGGGGCTGAGCAGGCAAATATGTTACTCCCCACCTACCTCCTCTCTCTCCTTCTACAGCAGTATGATTTCCCTCATCGTGCCTTAACTTGGCATAGCCAGTGGTTCCAGAACCCTTATGTTAACTTGCTAGGCCACCATGAACAAGTCATCCAGCTTCTTTGGGTAGTCTTCATCAGGTGAGATGCCAGGAAATTCGATAAGAACAAGTGTTTAATGAATATCTGAGTGCCATGTATTAAAGATCTAAGACATTGCCCTACCTTGGAAGCACTGTCTAATGAGGAAAGTGACAGCAAGAGCTCAGGGCTTGTCCATTTGGAGGAGCAGTTGGGGAAAATGTCACGTAGGAGGTCACCCTCAGCAAGGCTATGAAAGCTATGAAAGACCTCAACTGCCAAGCCTTTTATCTTGTGGGCAGTAGAAAAGGCCTGTTCAAGCAGACCTGAGCATGGTAATATCTTAACGTTCATTCCTTCTGCCTAGAATTTTCCCCCTTACTTCATCACATCTGATCTTAATTATCTTTCGAGGCCAGTTTGATGTCACCTTTCCCATAATGCACACCCTGATTGTACATCTTCTTTCCTACACTGTGAACTAGCTTCTCAAGGATAGGGACTGTCCTGTTCTTTATGTGCGAGTACCTCGAAAGAGCAAGGTCAGAAAATGTGGACAAACACTAGAAGTCATTTCTTCCTTCTTGGCTCTCACAGAACAAGTAACTACTCCTTCCTGATTCTTTCTGTACTGTCTATCTGGCATCATATACTGATGTTCCCACCTTACTTCCTCTCCTAAAAAGTGCGTCCCCCCAAGGTCAGGGTCTGTGTAGGCCTGATGCACCATATCTCTGATCTTTCCCCTTACCCAGAGTGCCTGGCAGAGCTTGCCTATGTCAGTTTCTGCGAGTTGGTACACATAGGAGAGAGGTCTGCTGCCAGATGGGAAAGACCAAGGGATGGAGTCACAAGTGAGCGAGTATCTCTGAGTGTGTCACATCTTCCTCAACTCCAAGAGCCCCCTGGGGCAGAGTGTGCACTAACCCTTGGCCTCCTCAAGTCACCTCTGTTAAGTAGTCTTAGGGTTTACACAGTTTAGAGGCATTATTTGGGCTAGGGGTAGAAACAGGGCAAAGTTAAAATAGCAACTAACTCCTTGAATTGGAGGAGGGGGGTTCAAGTGGCCAGACACAGAAAGTAACACTACTGAACAGAGATGACCTGAGGATTGGTAGACACTGGGCCATAAGGTCGCATGATCACAGTTGGAGCAGGAAGTCACACAAAGGACTTAGTTTAGAGGCTCTGTCTGAAATGACAGTAAAAGGGCAAAGGTAGGGCTACAGCTGGCTCCTTGGAAAATCATGCAGCAGTTGGGCCCTTAAACAGGCTGAGAGGTCTCAGTAAGACATCTTTCATTTCCTCCATGTCTCCTTTGCTTTGCTCTCATTCTCTGGACCTGAAATATCTGATCCATATCACTTATTGAATCAGAAGCAAAAATGCTCTTCCTTGAAACAGTGGCCCCAAAATGTGAGGTTTTGCTAGTAGCTTACAGGAGCTGGAAAATGGAAAGGGAAGAGGATAGGTGCCCAAGGAGGAGGCCTCCTGAAGATTCCAAGGCAGCAGCACTGAGGATAGATTGATTTTAGCTTCAGTGAACTCAACATAGTAGGATTTTGGGTGAATTCAATGGTAGAGGAACGAGTTCACAGCTGACTTGCTCAAAGATCTGACAGGCTAAACCCATTATACCACTGCTGCTAAGTCAGACACAACAAGAAGGAATACACCCAAGTCCCCACTGCTAACCTGAATTTCAGGGAGGAAGAGGCTCGAGCTGCTGTGGTCTCAGGGCTCCCAATCTCCTCTTCCTCAGAACCTCGGGCTCTCTTTGCCTCTGATGGGCCCAGCATTTCTTTCTGAGACAGTTTAACAGGTGCCAAAACTGTAAGATTTTGGGGGGGTGGTGGAGAGAAGGATAGGAGATGGTCAGCTTCTGTGGTGACGCTTAGTGACTTCAATAAACTCCCTGCTGTCTGGACTCAGCCTTTCCACTCTTGCCTCCCCCAATCCTCACCATGAAGTTGCAGGCTCTCATTGGTAAAAGGCCGGTTAATCACCTCCTTGGACCTGGCAGCAAAGTTGAGTGCAGAGACTGTGTCTAGGAAGAAGTGTCTCTCAGGGGCAATGTTGGCAATGAGGATGCTGTGGGCTGAGCCACCCAGAGAGTCCTGAGGGTTGGGGATCAGGCAGATGGGTGGGTTGGAAGCCCAGCCTTCCTGTTTCTTGACTGCTATCCCCCTGTCACCCCTTGC